GAGGGGGCGAATCTGTTTGGCCTGAAGAAGAAGTGGGCTTCTTCTTTTTCTCCCTCTAAGTCTCTTCTTCCCCCTCTCTCGCTCTTGTCTATGTATGTATATACTCGGTTACAGGAACAGATCTGATCGACATTATTCATCAACAAGACTAGATTACTCGAGTTGCTTTGTTATTGAGCCACTTGACTTGAGTGTGAACTATATCTGGTTGTCCAATGTGTGTTATCTCGCCTGGGTTCATTGCAGTTTGGTATCGAAGCAGTACTTCCGAAAATCGCGTGCGCACTTGCACGCGGGCTGAAGTGGAATATCGCGTCGACGTTGGTGATCGCGTCGGTTGGATCTTGATGACGACTTGGTAGAAGATCACGAACGTGATCAAGGGAAGACACGATCACGAACGTGACCTCAACGCTAGAGAAGATTGTCGTGACGAAGCATCACAACAACGCAAATCATCACGACGACGAAGATCATCACGATGACGAAGAGCCTACGACGACGAAGTTCCATCGGGCTGCGTTTGAGTTGTGGCTATACTAGCCATTGATGCCCGTGCTCGATCAAGACCCGGACGCGCGCTGATGAAGTGGCAGGAAAAATAGTGGGAGAGAGAGAATGTTGAAACGCGATTTTTATCAACTTGTTTGTCTAGACAAGAAGCACTCTCCTCCCTTGAAGACTGCGCGCGCCGGTGAGAAGAGGATGATGACGCCTTGAAGATTGAAGAAGAAGATCTTGCTGACGTGGCAACATTGTATCACATTGGCGGGATCTTGAACAGGAACCTTTATTGCTGAAGTGGCATTGATATGTCACATTGTTAAGATCTTGAGCAGGGACCTTGAATGCTGACGTGGCAGGGAATATTGAGGTGTTATTGTATCCCTGCTGACGTGGCTCTACTTGCATTGTACTTGAGGACCAGATTTGTTGACGTGGCACCCCTTCATTGATTGATAGATTATTGGATGCTGATGTGGCAGATGTTTATACTTGCTGTGTTGGCATTACCGGGGTGTCACGTGATTGACACGTGTGTGCTTAGGTGGGAGGAGCATTCCGCTGACAGCAGCGGTACAGTTGATTGGACGGTTGTCGTGCCAGCTGTCGTGCTGGGGTGCCTATTGCTTAATCAGGACTGACGCAGGGGATTATTAATGCTGACATCTTGATTGTTTGTTGATGTTGGCTTGTTCTCCTGTGTCGTTTGTCTGTCCTGTGCTGGCATACTCACCTGTGTTGTATCTGGTCACTTTGATTGAGCCGGTACCTGCAAAATAACGTCATCAGACTAAGTTAGAAATTAAGAACAGCAAAGAAAAAGAAAAATAATTGAAAATAAATTCTGTAGTTATTTTTGCTGTCATTACCTTTGCTGTAATCTGCTGTGTGGAATCTGTGAGGCCGCAGAATTAATTATTGTTTATTTTCTGTTTATTGTGCGGTAGATCCCCCACACCGAAATGTCCCAAGAGGGATCCGTTYAGACCCCAGTTGARGGTCAGAATGTTGAGCAGCTCCCTGACCCTCGTACCAGGGCCCRAGTTGAGCAGAGACGACAACTGTTGTCTGGCCGGCTCAATCTTCTGGCCACCGAGCTGCACGATGCCGGAGCAGATGTTGAGTCCCATGTGCGGGTCCAGTTTGATCTGCGGAAAGCCCAGGCAGACCTGGACGCAGCTCAGACTGGCACCGACTTACTGAGGATCCAGGAGTTCATTATCCAGTGTCGTAAAGCACTAGATGCGTACATCTGTCAGCAGTTCGAAGACATAGTAAATGGCAGAAATGTAAAAAATGAGGTGGTGGTCACAGAGCAAACAATTGATGAGAATATTCGCCAGCTGGAAGAAGCTCTTGAAAAAGAGAAAACCCACAAGGCAGAAATGATAAAGAAAAAAGAGCAAGATGAACAACAAGCAAAACGAGAACAAGAAGTCAGACAGCATGTGGTAACTGTGGAACGGGCAGAACAGGTTGCGGCACTGAACCAGCTGGTTGAGTACCTTGCTCACTTAGAGACAAGGCTCGACCGTTTTGAAGCAAAGATTGAAGAATTGACCGTGGGTCTGACGAATGTGACTAACCTAGTGAAGGGAAAGGAAAAAGAGGTTCAGAAGGAACAACCCAAGAGAAAATTGATGGGTGATGCAATGAAAGATCTTCAGGTGGAGGTAAAGAAAGGAGAATCGTCTTCACCACCACCTCCACCTAGTCCACCACCTAGTCCAAGTGGCAAGAAGGATAAGGAGGAGAAACCTTAGAAGCCCAAGAAGAAAGAAAAGGTAAAGATGAAATTGCCTTTCATGTTCAGCAACAAAAAGGATGAAAATTTGTTGCTGTGGATTGCAGAAATACAAACCTACGTCGGGACGACCCCAGTTGAAGAAGAGTCACAGGTCGCCTTCTCCACGTCATGCCTTGGAGGGGAGGCGAAAGAGTGGGTCCTGGCCGAAACCAACGCGGCAGGATTCGACGACATCGGTAAGTGGGCCGGAACGATGACCTTGAAGCAGTTCCTGGATAAGATCCGGGAACGCTTTCTTGACAAGACGACCGCCGATAAGGCCTTCGACCAGCTCACAACCGTAGGTCAGAAACATTGGACGTCTGTAGAGGCGTTGTCCCGCGAGGTCGATCGATTACTGCAAGTACCGGGTCTAAATGTGCAGGATGATCAGGTCCTGTATATTTATGCCCGGGCCTTACCTGAACCCAAAAAAAGTCAGTTAGTGGCCGAGTCAAAGTCAGGTAAGTACAAGTACCGACAGTTTCGTGATCTGGCTCTCGAAAGAGAGCAAATGACTTCTCAAGTTAAGCAGTCATATGCATCTGTGGTAAAATCGGGTGGTAATGCAGGTGCATGTGCAAGATACGGTAAGCGAGTCCTTTGGCGCCAAAAGCGTCAAGACCACATGCTTGTCGTCTTTGACGACGACACAGTGGAGAAGCTACCGTTAGAAGAAGGAGTTCCTAGCAGCAGTGAGTCCGGAAAGGGGGACGTCGCTGCTGCCGTGGTCAACAAAGGAGGACCACGAGGTCCGTATCGAGGAAGGAAACCACGCTCGTTTCCTGCGCACCCAGGTATCGCGGCATTCAAGTCGTGGGAGAAAATGGAGATTGACCAAAAGACCTGGCAGGATAGGATGGACAATGCGCAGTATTTGAAGTGTGGAAAGGAGGGACACATCATTGCATGGTGTCCTCTTATCCGACACCCAAAAGCAAGCCGCCAGTAGGAGTAGCATCTGCTCCTACTGAGTTGAAGAAGTCAGACGATGAAAGAGGTAAGGCGCCTACTAATCCTTGCACTTCTTCGACTCGCGTGGCAGAGGATGGTTGTTCTCTGGCCCATCATCCAGATCACCCTGAACCTGTCTTATGTTCTGTCTCTCTGGATGACTCCTTTGATGAGCTTGGTAATGAGTTGCTGACACTACGAAGCTCATGGGCAAAGAAAGCAAAGTCTAAGGGTGAACTATTACTCGCRGATGTTGAGATCGCACACGARCGGACGGGTGCACTTTTAGACTCAGGATCTACWYGGTCCTATATTTCTGAGAGAGCTATTCGCAAGCTTCATCTTGGAATGAAGGTAAAGTGTTTAACACGACCTATCACGTCTATTCTCGCTGATAAAAGCACGATCACTGTCTCTCATTATGTCGATCGTGTGAAATGTAAGTTCAGAACTAAAACTGGAAAGAAGATTGTGCATGAAATATCCTTCCTAATTGAGAAGAACTTGCCTTTTGATATGATTCTGGRAATGGATTGGCATGAGGAAGCCAACCCAGAAATYAAGTTCAAGGAAAAGGAAGTATGCTGAAAAACGCACAATCCGAACTCGAGGCCATCAAACTATATMATAGGYCAKGATCTGACTCTACTTTGTCTTTCTGTTGTATGAACTATCCTGCTTTTCGATCGATGGTCAGGAAGAAGCAATTGGATCAGGAGGTAATGATGGTGTTGGTTAAGGAAGTTGGTGAGTCTTCGACACCTTATCCTCCATCGATACAAAAACTCTTAGATGAGTATAAAGATCTATCTCAGGAACCTACTGGGATCACGGAGCGTGCTATCAAGCACACTATCGAGATCATTCTTGGAAGTAAGACTCCCAAGGGCCCTATCTATCGAATGCCGCATAGGGAACTTGAGGAATTGAGCAAGCAACTCCAGGAATCAACTGACAAAGGATGGATTCGCCCTAGTTCCTCACCTTATGGAGCGCCTGTCTTATTTGTGCCCCAAAAGGAAGGTGAGTTGCGTTTATGCATCGACTATAGAGGGTTGAACTCCATCACTGTGAAAAACGCTGAACCCCTACCACGAATTGACGACTTGTTGGATCAGCTGCAGGGATGCAAGTACTTCAGCAAGATTGATCTGAAGTCGGGGTACCACCAAATCGAGGTGGCGCCTGAAGATCAACACAAGACTGTTTTTCGAACCAGGTATGGACACTACGAGTTTGTGGTCATGCCCTTCGGATTGACGAATGCCCCTGCGACCTTCCAAAGGTCTATGAACGAATTGTTTCGACAGTGGTTGAATCAGTTTGTAATTGTGTATCTCGATGACATCCTGGCTTACAGCAAAACGTCGAAGGATCACGAGAAACACTTGCGTCTCGTCTTGGGTAAGTTACGCGAACGTAATTTCAAACTTAACCCAAAGAAGTCACAGTTTGCAAAACCTGAATTGCTCTACTTAGGGCATATAGTCAATGAAGAAGGACTCGGACCAGAAGCAAAGAAAATTTCAGCGATTAGAGATTGGCCACAACCAAAGTCCATCACTGAATTGAGATCCTTCCTTGGGTTAGCCAGTTATTATAGGAAGTTTGTTAGAAACTTCTCCTTAGTTGCTGCTCCCATAAGAAGACTCTTGAAGAAAGGAACCATATGGTTGTGGGACAACGATTGCGAGTCATCAATGAAGAAGTTAAAAATATGCACTGAATCACTACCCTGTTCTGAAAATTGTTGACCCATCTCTTCCCTTTATTGTGACTACTGACGCAAGCCAGTATGGAATTGGCGCAGTTCTACAGCAGGACGATGGCAAAGGTTATAGAACTATTGAGTTCATGTGTGCCAGATTTCCTACCTAGAAAGTCGCTAACTCCACTTACGAAAGGGAATTGTATGCGCTTGTCTGTGCACTGAAATCCTGGAAACACTACTTCTTAGGGAGACACTTCACTGTCTACTAAGATCACTCGACACTGAAGTGGATAAAGACCCAACCAAAACTCTTCGACAAACTAGTACGATGGTCTGCTTTCCTCGACACCTTTGACTTTGAGTTGACGACAATCAAAGGTAAGTCTAACGTTGTGGCAGATGCATTGTCAAGGAGAAGTGATTTCTTTGGAACCATTGTCTCTTACTTGGATATTGGAAATGATGTGCAGGAACAGATTCGACAAGGCTATGCTAATGATCCTATCTGGAAACCCATCATTGACCTTGTCACCAAGGATCCTGCCCTGCTACCCAAGTATAAGATGACAAATGGATTGTTTTTCTTGATAGACCAAACTGAACTACGGTTGTGTATTCCTCACAAAGAAGAGATTTAAAGTCTGCTGATTGGGGAATGTCATGACTTTGCAGGACATTTTGGTTTCAAGAAAACTTATGCAGAAGTAAGAGAACGCTTCGATTGGAAAGGACTAAAGGAAGATGTACTAACGTATGTGCGTACTTGTCTGGTATGTCAGAGAAACAAACCACCGCATGAGAACCCTCTGGGCTTACTAAGGCCCCTACCGATTCCCAGGGAACCAGGTGAGTCTATCTCCATAGACTTCATGAGTCTCGTCAAGAGTCGAAATGGCAACAGTCAAGTGATGGTTGTAGTCGATCGTTTCTCTAAGTATGCAATGCTTATTCCTTTGCCTGCTGAAGCAAAAACTGAGCTTGTGATCCAGAAGTTTCAGATGCGATGGGTAACTGAGTATGGATTCCCATTGTCTATTGTATCTGACAGGGATTTAAGGTTCACAAGTATGCCATGGCAAAAGCTGATGGAGGCATACGGCACTCGTTTGACCATGTCGTCAGGACGACATCATGAAACTAATGGGCAAAGCGAGCAAATGAACTGTTTGTGCCAACAACTCTTGCGCATGTATGTCAGGCCCGATCAAATTGATAGGGACGAGAACTTACCGAAAATAGCTAGTGCATACAACAGCAGCGTCCACACTGCAATCGGACGCACACCTAACGCACTACATAAAGGGTGGAAGCCGCGACGTCCCATTGATGTATTGACCAGGGACCAATTTTTACGGCTACCGCCAGGGACTCGTGAATATGCAGTTCTGTTCCAGGAAGACATCCAGAAAGTTAAGGAGAACCTAAAGAAAGTACAAGAACAAATGATTAACCAGGACAAACATCGAAGACCTGCTAACTTTTAAGTAGGTGATATGGTTTCGGTAAAGTCTAATGAGTTATCCTTGGAAGAAGATGTTTCACAGAAATTGCTGCCTATCTACTTTGGGCCCTGGGAAGTTCTCAAAGTAATTGGAGATGCAGAGGGACCGTCCTACAGAATTGATATTCCCCCGCATCTCAAAACCTACCGTATATTCCATGCCTCTAAGTTGCTACCGTATGTGGAGGGAGATGAGTTTCCTAACAGGCCTTCTATGATTCCACCTTTGATGAAATGAAGTTATGAAGTAAATCGGATTGTAGACCATGGGTTCTTCTCCACCGGAAGGCGTGGACGACCACAGAAGCAGTTCAAGGTAAGATTTAAGACTCAAAAACCATCCGAGGATCGGTGGTTCAGCAAACAGCAACTCCTTGAAACTGCTCCTGACATCGTCTCTGCATATGAGCATGGGTTGAAAAGTTGATTTATTTCTGCGAYGGAACTCRAAATTGGGTCGGCARSMATGCAGTAACCCGCACTCAGCAGARRCCGGGCWGTGTGACTACGCACTGCCCGGCTCAGCCCAGCGTATGGCCAGTGAGACCCAGCRCTGAACTGGGGGAAATTCAAAGGTCAAAGTCAACTGTCGGGTCRCAGGTACCGTACCYAAGTCYACGAACAGATACACACCTGTGTTTGTATGCAGGTACCAGGCCAAGACATCAAACCAAGGGAGAGTCGGTTGCAGACCGATCCAGGCCGTCGCAGCATCAAGATCTGAACGACATAGGACCGCTGCACCGGGGGCATCGACCCCGAGTCAACGCTACTTAAGGTTGACTCCTAGCTTTGACATCATTCATTCTGTCGCGAGTCAATGCTGACTTCACTTTGACGCGACGCTGGCTTGGGAGGAGCTAGCTTGATGCTAGCTGGACGCTGGCGTTCTTGCGCAGCGACACGCTGCTTGCTTGCTAGCATGGTGGCCGACTTGCTCATGTCTTCAAGGTGCTGACGTGGCAGCGCCACGTGTCGTTGATGACGTGGCTGCTGCCACGTATTGGGTTGGTGACGTGGCTAGGCCACGTGTTACATTCGCTGTTCAGACTTTCGTCGTCCGGAAGGAGGTCAGGG